TTGATATAATCATGTTGGGAAAATGCAAGAATCTGTTCTTAAATATCTTTTAACAACTTTTTTTCTAATTTTATTGCCCAAAAATGAATTAATTTCAAATTATAAGCAGTTAAACTCAAAAATACAGTTTTACCAAAACTATGGGTTTTTGACAGAGGGTTTTTTGACATGACGGTAAAAACCATGGTATAAACCGGTAAAAACCGTCACGTGTCAAAAACTTGCCAACCCTGATTACTCATATACAATAGTATGTATTTCTGTAATTGAATTTTTAAGTTGAAGCTCTAATTTAATCAAACATTAATATTTTACGCAAGAAAAAGATAAATCTCTCAATGAAACTTATGTGTCAATTTATTTGTATTTTACATGGTTCTGTGTTTTAATTTTTAAGATTATTGTAGAATTTTTACATTTTTCAAGATTACATTAAAATAAAAAAACTCATATTATTTATCTAGATATTATTTTGCTACTGTGATTACATAGAAATAAGCAAAATTAATAGTTTCTGGTTTAACCTACTTTTTTAATCTTACACTGTATACTTTTTTAACAGACCTGTCCTTTTCGTTTAAGAGGGCGGGGGGGGGGATTAACCTCCTACTAAATAATGGCTTAATCAGGATTATATATAAGAGATAGCTTTTAGGAAAAATTAATCTTATTATTGATACTTTGATCAGCTTGTGCTAAAATATTGTAAAATGAAGAATGTGTCTGTCAACTCGATAAAAGTTTAGATATTGCAATTAGTTTTAAAGTTTCATTATTTTATTTAATTTAAAGTTCAAACATAATGACAAATGTTATAAATATTATTACTATTAAATTTGATTTGCATTTTACTTTATATTTAAGCCTTTGCAAGATAGGGCATAACTGTGTATTCCATATAAAACTATAATGCTTGAGTCGTGTAAAAATTCTCTGTATATATTTGTTATCCCTGGATGAATTTATAATATTTTACCTGAAATCTTACTTAAGCACTACCCCAAATTTTGACCAAAATATCGATGGTGCAGAAAACTAACAGTACAAAAAGGTGAGAAAAGAAAATTGATTATATTTTATAAGGATTCACTATTAGTGAATTTCCATAAATAAGAATTCATCAACCTAACCTTGCTTATTATTTTTTTAGTCTTGCCAATTTTCTGTTAAAAAAGCTTGCAGCAGCTATTGTGTATCTAGATAAATAATTAATAAAAATTGAAATTACAATGAAAGAGTCTTTTATATTACTTACATAAGTCATTTATATTACTTTAAACCAGTGTTTCTTAACCTTTTTTCACAATGGACCCTTTTTAAAAAAATTTAAGGAGTCACGGACCCCCTCCCTGGGAGGAAAATAATTTGAAAACAACATCAATTATTAGAAAACATTTAATTTTGTTATTTTAAGAGCACAAAATTTTTAATGTGAAGGTTGTTGCTACTGTTCCTTAATTAATAAATTGAACTGAGGGATAGTTTTCGACAAAGCAACGTGCAAATCATGTTCAACATTCAATCACAAGTTTTTATTGTCTCTATTATTTTGATATTAGAGGGCTGTGTGCTGTCCGACTGAATTTAGGGTACCTCGATCACCTAGTTTCAAATATGTATTTTCACCGTTTAGAAAAAAAAATCAACGTTATTTAAATATTATTGATCCAAACGTTTTAAAAATTAGGAGAAGTTAACGGACCCCTAAATTATGACCCATGGACCCCTAAGGGGTCCATGAACCACAGGTTAAGAAACCCTGCTTTAAACACTTGTTTCAAATTTTTAATGGAATCTAATAATTAGGGCAAAACTATTCCCTGCTTTATGCTTTTTTGGTAGTAATGGTTAAAACTTTTGAATTAAATATTAAAGGGAGAGTGAAATATAGAACAAATTATTTACGTATCAAGTACAGTAGCTTA